AGAGGACTTCGTACGATATTTTCAAGATCAAAGGGGGCCTCTTAGAACTTTTCTGGTGCCAGCTCGTGCCGAGCCCTGGCCTGTAGTAGTATGAACACAAATTTCCAGCTCACAAGCCTTAGCGAATAAGGATTTTGAGATTCGAAGCGGAACATATGGGACAACCTAGTAACAAGCCTAGGCAAGACAACGTAATAGAACTTCGACAAAATCAATTAATAAATCAAGGTTGCTGTCTATAAGTAGTCCACACGGTCGCTTTTTTTGGAAAAGCTTGCAAATTTTTCCAATTTTCTATAGTGCGATGGTGAGTGACCTTACTGGAAAATGAAAAAATCATAAAAAAAGAATTATTTGCAGACATTGTTGTTCTATAAGGCAATATGTTTTTTCTCCTATGCTAAATAAAGACTTATGTATGCCATGTCCCACTTGACCCACACCAAGGTCGTACGATGCTTAGCGAAAAAACTGAAATCCGATAGAATGGTGTTTGCGATATCAAACCATTTATCATAGGCTCCAATGGTGACACGCAAAGTGCTCACCCTACTGTCATCTTATCTAATTGTGCAAGTAAGGAATAATCAAATTGGACTAGATGCATGGTGCCATTCTGCCCCAGATGATAGCCTTCGATTCTGGTGTTTGCAGTTGCGAGATATGGATAGAATGGCTCGCGTAAGTTGCTGAGCTCTTGATATCATTAACAAGTCATCAAAATACTTTGGGAAAGTTGTAGCTAACAAATTTGTAAATGAAGTCAAATACATCACAAAAAATAATCCTAACATTCTCAGAACAGTATTTCTGACAAAAATTTAGAGATTAGAGGAGGGAAGAGTAGTTCCTTCACTTAAAAGGACGTACAACACCCCTGCTCGGACTATCTACGAATGTTTCAATTTGACGTGCGTATGTGGATTCATGGGAGGTAAGCTCTAGATTTGGTTGACTCATATTAGACTATATCATGCAGGTAGTATGAGGACTGGTAGATGTGTTCTGCGAAATGGTGTGTTGTTGAACCAAGCATATCGAAAGGAGTACCGAGCACTTACCGATGACGAGCGAAACAGGTGAGAACCACTGACAGCTATGTGGAGATTGACGTTATCATACTGAAGATTTCATTCTGCCATGTGGGCCGTAAAAAACTCCGGAGTCTACGATTATTTCGCCCGAATTCATTCCCGTTTTGCTATTGCCACTGGAGCCCATGCAGGTCCTGCGTTTGTGCCATGGCACAGAGAATATCTTAAAAGGTGATACCTTAAATGATTTTTATGAAGTTAATAGAAATAAGGATGCTATGCAGATTAGAATTCGCCCTAAGGACGGTAGATCCGAGTGTTGCCATGCCATACTGGGACTCCACTTTGGATAGTCGTTTACCTAACCCAGGGCATTCAGTTTTGTGGACTGATGAACTGTTGGGTGGGTCGAGATATGGAGAAGTTAGAGATGGTGCATTCAGAGGGTGGCTACTCGAGAATGTAAAGCCTTTTGTACTTCATACACTTTTTTCAAAATATCAATGGAGCTGCTTTTTTGAAGAGAACTCGCATAATCAGAAGAGCTGTTGGAGTGAGTTCCAGGCCTATAAATGTGACTTCGTTTCTCACATTTATCAGTTCTCCTAACGTTCAGCAGCTCCTTGCTTCTCCTGCCGCACAGGAAGTTGGTTAAGATTTTGTCTTGAAATTTCATATTTAGTAGGGAGAGCATACACATTTTAGGATTGTCCCATACCAAGAACTTGGCAGGCTCTTGAGCTTGTACATGGTAGTCCACATATCTTTGTCGGTGGTTTGTCATTGATAGAACATGTTTGAAGTTTTCATCATTTTTTTCTCTTAAGAAGACATGGTGTTTCTTGCAAACTCTGCTAACGATCCTGCTTTTTTTCTACACCATTCCTTCGTCGATTACATTTGGGAGACCTGGCGGCAGGGAATACAGGTAAATTGCATATAACTAGAGCTCATCTAGCAGACATATTTAGCCCAGACAAAATCGAGAAAGTGAGTATCCCAGAGATGACTCTCGATGTAGCAGTGCTGCTCATTTTGCTCATGCTCCAATGCTTCCATTTTTACCTATGTTGAACATTGATGGCCTAAGCAACGAGTACACGGGTAGTCTTTTTTTCTTCTTACAGACGTTTTTGAAGTTTCTTGAGCTATGGATAAACAAGAATTTGTTATCTTTCCTAGATTATCTCTATCGTTACGCTGGGCGACCTACCTGCTCATACAACAATCGTAACTGTGGATCAAGGTAAGTCCAGCTTATTCCGCATGCATGCGCCTATAAAGCAAGCTTGAAACAATTCAGCCATTAATGTTTTTTTCTGTTCCGTATTGTTTACAGATCAGAGACTAAGTCATTGTAGAGAAAAGTAAAATAGGAGTGTACATTCTAGTTCGAAGTGGCAGTTTGAACATTTCACATTTTATACTTTTGGAATCATTTCCTGCGAACAATGCTCAATTACTTGAGAGCTTCCCTTTTTCTAAATGTTTGTGATAACCATTTTTCAAGCATTGTACAATTTACAATTTCTTTTCATGGACTGGAATATGAATTACAAAAAAAA